AGCAAGCCTGTCTGCCGATATCCGTACTATGGCTAGATAAGAAGGTATCATGTAAATATATCCAACAAGAGACGGGATGAACCTCGAGCATTCGGTGTGAAGTTGTGAGGGGTAAAAACCATATCGAGTGCGATCGATACTCCACCAGCTCCTAGATACGAGGCGACAACGAGGTAGTGGACGTTTTTGACTAGGGATCTAACAATTGGAAAATATTTACAATAGCTTCTTGGATTTCTGATTGGTCAATTGGACGAAAAGGATCGTCATATAATGTTGTATGGCCTGGGCCTGGTAGCTACATATAGAATAAGCGTGTAAGGTGTAAGATGTGGCTTGTTTATTTTGATTTCCCTTCCTCTCCTCACTCTGAGAGGTCAATCTTCGCGACATGGCACTAAATTGAGGCTATTCCGGCCTGCATAATCTATAGACAAACAAACACGACCAAAGTATCGACCCAATGAACTGGACCGGCCGACCGGCGGCGTTGAACTAAATAATGGTAGCAGAATCGTTCCGATTGAAGAGGAGAGTACGGTAAATGATGATAGTGTGACATACTTTGAGTTCTTGGAAAGTCTGCATTCTAGTCTGCATCGAACCCCAAGAAACTTTGCGAGGGAAATCCAATGAGATTAATTTTGTCCCTGGTGTGCATGCTGAGTAACCGGGAGAGTATCTGGATTCTGGTTATGTTCCTGCAATGATTATCGTGCAGTAAGTGTAGGAGATCACAGCAATAGACAAACATGACGTGTCCTCAGCGTACATGTTCCTGCGCACCTCAGTATGCAGGTGAATGTGGATATATGGACCAATGTATTAATTTGTTGGGTCTCTTGGGTCTCTCGGGTCTCTGGTGCGGAAACATTTGTGAAGGGTTTGAAGGGTTCGAATGAGGTTGTGCTGGGTTCCGTGAGATGTTGGATCATGATTGGAAGTCCTCCATACTGCCGAGGTCTATGGAGACGATGTTTGGATGGTGCACAATAAAAGTGCGGAATGGGATGGATGGAGAGTATGGATTCTGGAAGGAGGATCGTATCATTGCCAGCATCCGGGTTTGATCATCTTGATTGATGCCATCGTGAATTTATTTCAGGCCTTTCTTTCTTTGCTTCTTTTTTAAATTTGAATTGGAGATTCAGGTGAGTGGGCAAGATTCAAATGGATGGAAGAGAGGAATATGTATGGGTTGTCCTTGCATACATGTCTGGAAATTGTGGATGAGAGAACGAAAGCTGTGAGGTTTAAGTGTGTGTTTGAATGGATATGAATGGAATATCAATGGATATCGAAGGATATTCCTTGAAGGTAGATGAGATAGATGAGATAGATCTTCCTGCTATCAAGTTTTTTTTGCGGCTCCAAAAAACCCCTATCCTATATTCGATTGTCCACATTTCCATATATATATATTTACCACCATCTTCCCTTCTGTCATCCATCGCTGCAATCCGTGAATCTGTGAAAGAGAGTTTTTCGATAATCATGACCACAACCATGCGATCGGAATAATTATTGCGACACTAAGTCAGGGTGTGGTCACTGTGGTGTCGATAGTTTGGTTGGCAGTCCTTATTTTGAAAATTCACTTGGATGGATGGGACAATGAGAGAGCAGCATGGAAATCTTTTCGATCAATCATATCGTTTGGAGAATGAAGCCATGAAGATCTTGGTTAGCATGTACATAGGTACATACATGCACGCATACATAGGTACATACACACACAATACACACACACTCACTCACTCACTCACTCTCTTCCGGAGAAAGTTCAAAGTGCAAAGTTCAAAGTTCCACACTTCCCAGTGCCTAGTTTGCCTCGTACTCGTTGAACCCCGAACTCACATTTCTCGATAAAGAAAATCCAGCATACGAGAAATCATCCACAACATCCTCGCACATCCTTGCTGGGAGATGCATATCCAGACATAAACAATCGATGGGTTTACCTCCGCATTCAGCACACAACGAGATCGATCATGGACAGAGAGGTTGGATGAGCGGTGAAAAGGAAAACTGCACAATCTTCTTGATTGAATCAAAAAATAACATCAAATCCCTCGCAATGTTCACCCAGATAATCACATTGCAACTCTACTTCTCGATTGATAAAGTAGTGGCCTCCCCTTCAAATCTCAATCTCGCCATCGAAAATGCACCTAGACAGTTAATGTATCTCTGTACGAAGCAAAACAGGGGTTGAGTTGTATCTTATTTTGACCAAGCTTGGTCCGTGATATGCTGGCAGCGTCAATGCATTAGAGACATTCTATGCATCTCAGCCATTTAAGTTAAAGCGAGCATAAGTGTGATCGGCCTGTCGGTGTCGATTATGAATTTCATTTATTTGGAAGTACCGGTATGTACCTCCGTTCACTCGAAATATTGGAACAACCGCTATTCGCGGTCTCCTAATTCATTCAATTTCGAGATACCAAATCCATGTTGCTGTGTATGTGTATGTGTATGTGTATGTGTATGTGTATGTGTATGTGTATGTGTATGTGTATGTGTATGTGTATGTGTATGTGTATGTGTATGTGTATGTGTATGTGTGTGTGTATGTGTATGTATATGAAAGAGATCGACACAACAGACGGGACAAGTCCAAGTGAACATGTGAAATACATGTGACACTCTTATGATGCTTGGTTCATCGCAACTCAAAGCTCCACCACAGTACGCAAGAATGAGAAGGTTATATCATCACTCACTAGCACTAGATGCAGGACGAAAGCTGTGAATATAGTTTGAAGTAGCGTAAAAGCCGCGACTGGGAAGTTCACATAGATGAGACCCATACGATCGGTGGAGGGGAAAGGTGCCTGCCTGTAGGATATTCATTCGATGCCTTTACACGCGTTGAGAGATGTATGGTGATGATGTTGCAGCGTTTCAAAAGCAAACGTCCTTCCAAGCTTTGAGAGATGCCACTCCATGTAACATATTCACGCATGGAAAGTCAATAATAATAATTATGCTTTGTGGATCTGCGACCGTTGACCACTCATGAATCTTCACCCAACTCCTGAGTCTTGAGTCTCTCCATCTCCAGACTTCGGTAAAAAAATTGGACGCCACCAGACTGGCTGAATCTGCATCTCACTTCTTATGGCATGAGTGAGGTATGCATGATATGATAGATACCTTGTGTGCTGACCAAGAAAGAGTGTGAACCCGAGATTTCATAAGATGAGAACCTTTCATCTGAGAGGCGGCAAGTTCATCCGTGTTCCCTCAACAGAACAGTCTTGAATGTTAACGATCACTACAGCTAAACATGTAGTCGGGGGGTCTTGACGATATTTAAACCGATTGGTGTAAAATATCGACATGTTCAACTTTTTTGATTTGGATGACTGGGATCAATAAACAGAGGCTCGTGAAAAGGCCGAAACGTGGGGTGAGAAGAGTATATTCCTTCTTCCAAAAAGCTCTGGCACCAACAGATGTCATAATGTAAACGCTCAAATATGATAAAACGTCTAATAGAACCGCCGTTTGGCTCGAACACAATCCTTTCAGGCATATCTCATCATTATGATCTTGGCAAAGGAAAAGATCAATGATCGAAGGCGTCTACTTTGCACAAAGAACACGATGGAACAGAAGATTACCTTTGCAATTTACAAGGGAGGAGCAAGACACTCTAAAAATAAATGAATTTGAATCCATATGCTGCGAAGTTCCACTTTCCTGGGCGAAACAGAACCATCTTAGATGTGAATCTGGTGAAATGATATGGAGAAAGGGAATTAAAAGTTAATTCCTACACTCTGTGTCTGTCTGTACTCTGGATATGAGAGGAACTCATTTTACCGTGGTACGAGACGCTTCCTGTGTCAATGGTAGGTTGAGAAAGAGGTATTCGTGTGAGTGTGAGTGTGAGTGCAAGTGGAAGTGCAAGTGCAAGTGTTGATGTAAATTGATGTTGGTGATCGCTGATCGTGTACCTGTTGTGGTTGTGGTGAGTGACATGTACCGAAGTACTATATAGAAGATATTGTATGTAGAAGATATTGTCCGTATTTTCCTTGCGTTGCAATGAGCATGATGCGTGAGTAGAAATGTTCTGATCATTCTTTAATATCTATATAATGAATTCCTCTTGTGAACCCCAGAACTTTTGAATTTCCCTCTCATCGCTCTGCCAAGCTCCCAAGAAGACTAGCCACTGCAGTATCGAATCTCGAGATATTGAATGCTCACCTCACCGGATGGGAGTAAGAATGATTCCTAGCAATCCCCACGTGATAAGCCATTCATCATCCTTCTCTGGGAGATCTGAAAGCTTGTTCCGGATGAGTTTATACTCGTAATCGGCCATCCATATAGATTACACAGGTACCTACCTATATGCACTGGAGTGAGTAACCAACATCTTCTATATTTAACCAGCATTCGTTTGACGTTGTGATAAAATTACCTCTTCGGAGGACTTCTACCCTTCGACCTTCGACCTGCTTCAGGACTCAGGAGTGAGCACCTGGTAGGTAGATAGATGAGGGAAACGCGCATACGAGGAGAGATAGGCCTAATAGCAAGAGAACATACATAACAGACATAACATGAGCATGGAATTTGAATTCAAATTTACCCCTGGATATCATTGGATTTCAAAATGGGTTACCTCAATTAGACTAAGGCCAGAAGAGGGAATAGCGTCAGATATCGAGACCATTCATCATATGATTGGTTATCCAAGTGGCGAGAGGGTGCATTAATTTATGAGAAAGGTTTGAGGCTAAGCCACGAAGGGTTATATTTTCTCCAATGTTCCTTCCGTACAGAATGATTAAAGGTTCGCATCCTTGCGATCTAACTCAAAGGAGACATCAGAAGTGGAGTCACGGTGAACAATCATCCGTTGGAGTGGTAAATAATGTAATAAATGTGAAGGTAAATGTAAATGTAATAAATGTAATAAATGAATGTACTAACTACCACCCAGTCCAGTCTACCACCCCAAATTCCCATCCTCCTCACTCACTGTCGCTGTTTTTGGGGCCCATCACAAATCCCCCTCCCATTTTCTTCCCATTCCATCCATCTCACAAACTTCAATCATTTCTCATTCGAAAGTCACCATTTACAGCATTCTCCTTGGTCTTTTCTATCTTTTTATTTGTTGTCTTTCGTTTCTATTTATTTTCTTTGAATTTTGCACCCTCAATCGCCCGGTGAAACGAAAAGCATTCTTCTATTCATTCCTGGAAATTTCCCGCAGCTCCAGCAACCAACGCCGAACCAATTCAAACTCAGGAAAGGAGAGGAATCTTGTTTCGGCACAGATAATAGCATATACTTGTTGAGGTTGGCAGATGATTCTCTTTTAACCTCAATCATCATATCATTCATCAGCTTATCATACAATGCTACAATAGAATTATAAAAAAAACAGGCGTCAATAAGAATTCACGGTAAAAGTGTTTTCTGCCTAGGACGCGCGAGAGAAAGAGAAGATCCGATTCCACTTTCACCACATATCTGGCCGCCGGCGACCTCCCTACCTCCTTCTTCGATTCAGAAACCAGAAACCCTTTCACCACCTCAATAAACTTTGAGAAAAGGTCAACCGTTAATTCGACTTGACTTTTCATCCTTCAAACAAACACAACTCTCATAATAATTGTTCATTTGTCTAGCAACTACATCAAGACTTCTACTTTTCATTGAAGGTTCGTTGACGCCAATTCACTCAGTCTCCCTTCAAGAACGCGCGTGTAACCTTCTTGCCAAAGCTTTGTACCTCCGCTTCATATCGAAATGGAGATTATTTTGATTTGCTAACATTCCATTCATCACAGTCCTTTCCAAACTCTACTCACTTGAAAATTATATTGAGTACGATTCTTTTCTTGTAGATGGCATCATAGCTGTTTGCTTCACAACAACCTCGAAAATCAGCCAAGTCACAGCATGGCAGCTCTTGTTCAGACGTTACCACAACAGACAACTACGGTCACTATGCTTCAAACTCGACCATCCTCTGCCTCTGGCACTCTACAACCTTCGCAAAATCAAGCTGCATATCATCAATATTCTATCAACCCTCAACAACGAAACAACTTTCATGGCTTGAACAACAACAATATGGCGATATCAAGTTACCGCGGTCATAGTTCGATGGCCCCGATTGCACCATATGCATTCACTACTTCACCCGGTCTGTCGATAGGAGCTCAACAAACACCAAATGGGTCTCAATCAAGGCCAGAACAACAGAGAACAGCATCAGCCCCCATAGTCCCTACCTTGCAAGGGGGCTCGACGACTGCTCCAAATCGCTCACGATACCCTGCTGCTCTATCTGTATCAACCACATCTTCATCCTCATCATCAGAACTTTCTCAAAGGTCAGGAACAAGAGATGATTCGGCCATCACCTCCACAGCTCGAATTGCAACAAGAACTCCCCGCCCACATTCCACCATCATCACGTCGCACAATCAAACTTTAGCTCCTCCTATGGCGTCCCCAGCAAAACCCGTCCCTGATCGCTATCGCCGCCCTGCAATTCGCCGTGCCGATTCATCGAACAGTAGCCAGGCTGGTGTTTCGAGCTCTTCAGTCTCAACGATGCCAAATGTCATGCAATTTTATGGTGCCAGTACACAAGCTGTCAACAGCCAAGCACTCAACTTGCAGATGCCACAACAAAATCAACCAAGTGCAACTGCTGATGATTTGCAGTTAAATCAGCGTACTACCTCGGAACAGGCAAAGAGATATCGACGTCGAAGCATACATACAATCGATGCTCACGATAACATCAACGCTAGTCCCAGCCCTGGAATTTTACAGCAGGGGTCAAGGCCAGTTAACAGCGCTAGTGGTCGTATTGATCAGCCGCCTGAGCAACACGGGCAACACCCCTTGCGAAGTTCACCAGTTGTTACGGTACGCCCAGCAACTTCTCACGGACGGAATGATAGTACCGATAGCATCAAGTCCACTCGTAGTGGTCACTCACGCCCGAACTCGGTAAGTTTTCAAGTTGTTTTTTGTATCAAGTCCTCACTCCCCCCCACTCATGGTTCACGGGACTTTATCGTGCATACGGCGTCACCGCAATTTAACCCACACCAATCATATTGATGTAGCACTAAAATTGGCAGCACACTAACTTATTTCAGTCGGACAAGCGAGAAGCAACAAGTGTATCAATGGCAACTGGAAGCCCCGCTCATTCTTCGACTTCTTCCGTCGCAAATTCGAACGCCTTCAATGGTAAAGATCAAGCAATTTCCAAGAATGATCAGCCACGACTTGTGAACATTCCAGTTCGTGCATCCTCGACCGATGCCGCGAAAAGACTTTCTAGCCCATCTCCTTTATCGAAGCCGGTGACGATGGGTGCCGACTCGTCGGCGTCTAAGTCCAAGGACTCGTTTGCTTCAGCCGTCAATGCAGCATTACAACCAGCCCAATCCAAATCTACAAACGCACTGCCTGCAACGAGTTCAAATGCTATCAGCCCTGCTGCACAGCAATTGGCTGCTTTAAACGATAAGGAAGGAAAGAAGAGTAAGACATCGAGATTGAGGAGGGCATTCTCTTTTGGCTCTGCTGCCGAGTTAAGAAAGGCATCTGCCGAAAACCATCTCGTGAGCAGGAGTGGCAATGATGCTTTGGATCGTTCCAAGTTACGAAGGGAAAAATATCAACATGAGCAAGAAGCAGAGCAAGATAAGATTGCTCAGCAACAAGAAGCTGCTGGTATCGGATCGAATATTTACTCCGGGCAAGGCAATTTCTTCACTGGTTCGACCGATAACTTATCCATTTCATCGACTGCTTCTTCCGCCTCTGTAATGATTCGAAAGATGGGTAAGGGAATGAAGAAGTCAACAAGATCTCTCGTCGGCCTCTTTAGACCAAAGTCTGTCATTGGTGTACCTGCAGCTGATGCAGCTGTGCCTGAAGCTAGTCAAGCACAGGTCTCGATGGTTAACGTTGAGGCAGAGAGAGAGAAGGTCAATGTGAACGCGAATGCGGCCGACGCTGCTTCTGGCGGAACAGGATTTCCTAGACTAGAAAGAAACTCTCTCGATGCTGCAGCTATCAGTTCAGCGTCCACAGACCGTCTAGGCAGTGCCAATACTGAGAACTCTGCAAATAGAAGAAGTATTGTTGGTGGTGAGAAGGAGCGTGCTGAAGTATTGGCCGCTGTCAAGAAGGGAATCCTCAAGCGTAGGTTGCTAATGACCAAATCTATGAATGATTTACTAATCACGTGGATATTAGGCTCCGGTACTGGTTCTGGTAATTCGTCACCGGTAATCCTTCCAGTAGATGGAAGAGCAGCGAACTTCAACTTACCCCAAATCCCCAATGTCAACAACGATTCACCGAATTCGTCTGCCCCCAGTACACCAAATGATGACCAAGTGCATAAACAAGAGGTCACTTTAGGAGGAGAGGATTACTTCATGTCTGCGCTCAGATTCAGGGGAGGAGATTCAAAGAGTGTTCCTGGAACACCTTCAGGTACCATTAAAAGAAACGCTACTTTCAGTCCTCGGATACAATTTCACGACACTTGGCCAAGTCAAGAGTACGACCGCAGGGGTGAAATTGCAACCTGCAATCGACTCACTCCAATGCTCGCCCAACAAATTAAGGAAGAGCTTAATACTTTCAAAATGGTACGTCATTTATCGTTCAGTCTTTTGAACACACACTAATCAAAAGCAGGAAATGGAGGTTCATGAGAATTCTAAGATCTATACACACTTCTTCTAATGAAACCACGATTATTCTATTTGTTTAAAAACAAGTTACGAGACTTACAAAGCTCTTCTGCTACTGCAGGCAACTGTGTAGTTACGCATACACTCAAGACTTTTAGGGCGTTAAAGCGGTCTTTCGCATTATTGGTGTACAGGAGTTCATTCACATCTGAGCGATTTGATCGAAAACAATATTATTTCATAGACTGGTGTTGGCCATCTCTTTTCGAGCATAAATGTTGAAGAAGATGAGGGAGGATATATTAGGGGTACTAAGGGGGGCGACGGTAGAAGTTTGGGAAATGAAAGATGTTGTGCTGTGAAGCTTTCCGAAGATGTGAAAGAAAGAGAAGAGTTTCAATTGTCCAATAGGCTGGTAATTTGTTTCTCCTAGCTATCAAGGATGACAGTACAAACTCGTACTCCAAAAGTTTCGATCTCGGTTGGTTTCTGTGGGTTTGTTTGATCTCTAGGGTTTTTGAGATCTGCACTTCGGGCAATGTCATGGTCTAATTTTCGTTTTCTTCATTGGTCGGTCAGGGTCTATTTTATATTCGTCGTCACCTCATCGTCGTACTTCAGCGTCTGTTATTATGTTTGAGAATGGGGGAAAGATAGGGGAGAAATGGGGAAGGCATATTCTACGTAATCAAATGATACAATACAAGCAATCGTTGCCAGTTCAAAAAGTCTAGAACGAATTTATGAGTGAGTAAGACTGTGAAGTAGAAAAATCTGCGTGAAGATTGTGGTATGGATATGCATGAATCGCGTGAAGTCTGAAACCAAGTTTTGTGTTCTAAATATCACAGTAGGGATTCTAGATTTCTCGATGAATCTAAAATTTCACAATGGACCTTGAAAATTCTAGATCTTGAATGCACACGTCAACATAAAAGCTTGGATACAATCCTGATCCTAGAAGAAACTGCATCGATTGGATCTGATAGAAACTTGATCCATCCGGCAGTTAAAGAGTTTTCCCGTGACACTTCAAGCTTGGATGTGGGTTCATCCCATGATATCCAGATGTGTAGTTTCAGGGGGGTGGCTTCCATAGAGACAAAAAACGTAGCCTTGCATTATCGTCTGCAGCCTTGTGTTTATAACGTTTTATATTCGCCCCGCTAAAACTTTTTTGCTTAAACAATTAACCAAGTTCAACCCTTTCTGACAAGTTTTATGCATTGATCACTGCATTCTTGATTGATCCGATATAAATAGTGGCTACTATCATCAATCACATTCATTCGAGGCTGAGGGCTGGAACCCGCCAATTTCTACCCTTTCAAATTCGAGAAATCATGGCTGCTTCAAACGGGCTGCCAGTCGTTGAGACTGCACTTCCAGATGCCATTGTATCCGAGAAGGTTGCAAATGGCTCCAGCAATGTAGCTAAGAAACTTCACGGTCGTGCTTTTTATGAAAGTATTGGTAGTCCTAAATTCATACTCGCGCCAATGGTCGATCAATCTGAATTTGTATGTTCGCAAAGCACCCGACACACCTCTCCTCTCCGTCTTTGGCATACTGACTCTGAATCCTTCTAGGCCTGGCGCATGCTCTCCCGCTCTTTTATGTCTCCTGAAACCAACAAATCCCTTCTGGCATACTCACCTATGTTTCATGCGCGCATGTTTTCTGAAACTCCAAAGTTCCGCGATGCGCACTTTCAACCGATGAAAAGCTCGCTGGTTTCTCAGCTGGGTTCATCTTCGAATACCCCAAAGGAGGAGCTATTTCTCGATGGGAATCCGGCTTTCGATAGACCTCTTTTTGTACAATTTTGCGCGAATGACGAGAAAGAGTTACTTGAGGGAGCGAAGTATGTAGCGCCGTTTTGTGATGCTGTGGATTTGAATCTAGGATGTCCGCAGGGAATCGCGAGGAGAGGAAAATATGGCGCATTCTTGCAGGAGGATCAGGGATTGATTTTTAGGTTGATCAATACATTACATAAGGAATTGGATGTGCCTGTTACGGCGAAAATTAGGATATTGGATACGAGGGAAAAGACGCTAGATTATGCAAAGATGGTGATTAGTGCTGGAGCGAGTATTTTGACGGTACATGGAAGAACGAGGGAGATGAAGGGTCACAAAACTGGGCTGGCAGATTGGGAGATGTTGAGGTTTTTGAGGGAGAGTTTACCCAAGGAGGTGGTTCTTTTTGTGAATGGAAATATTTTGGCGAGGGAAGATATCGATGAGTGTTTGAAAGCGACAGGTGCGGATGGTGTAATGAGCGCGGAGGGAAATTTGTATGATCCAACGATTTTTTCGGATGCGCCAGCTCCAGGAGAGGAAGGAAGAGAGTATTGGAGGAGTTTGGATGGAAAGATGGGGGGTTGGAGAGTGGATGCTGTGTTGAGGAGATATTTGGACATTATCTATAAATACGTTTTGCAAGTATCGCCGCCGGAGAGAAAACCACTGTTTATATCTTCGGATCCACCAGAAGAAATGAAGGAAGAAGTAGAGGAAGAAGAGGAAGAGGGTCCACCGAGAAAGAAACAAAAGAGTGAAAAGAAGGAGAGGACTACAAGTCCTAGTCTGGTGGCCATGCAACCACATTGTTTTAAACTTCTGAGACCCTTGGTTTCGAAACATCATGCGATCAGAGATGCATTGGCAAAAAGCAGAGCGGGGGATATAAAAGCTTTTGAAAATGTTCTTCAAATGACGGAGAAGGTTGTCAAAGAGGGAATTCTAGAGTATGAGAGGACTAACGGGGAGAGTTATAGAGAAGAGGTTGAGAAAGCGGAAAAGGAAAGAGAGGAGAAAATGAAAGGGGGTGGGAAGGGGGTGAATGGGAGGGGTGGAACAAATGGTGATGGAGAAGGGAATGGGGAAGTGCAGTTTGAAGAAAGTAGTTTGGAAACGGTTAGGAGATGTAAGAGGCCATGGTGGGTGGTACAGGCTTATGTGAGACCATTGCCTATGGAGGCGTTGGCGAAGGGGAGTTTGACGTTGAGTAGGAAGGAGAGGGGTGGGAAGGAGAATGGAAAGGGTGAGGGAGAGGGGAGAAGGTGGGGGAGAAGGTGGGGGAGAAGGTGGGGGAGAAGGTGGAGGAGAAGGGTGTTAATGGGGTTGGTTCTGAGGAGGAAGGAAGGTTGAAGTCCAGGTTGTGGGTGAGGGGGAGGGGGAGAAGAAAGGGGAAGCGAAAACGGAAACGGTAGAAGTACCAAAAGATGGCTTGGTTTGTGGATAAACTTCACTTTGTTAAATTAGGTGGGTGGATGGGTGTGGCATAGCAGAGCAGGCGCATATAGATATTACATACATAGCATAGCATGATTACTGGATATTCAACTATAGTTATTAGAGAGGTAGATAGATGGTAGATAGATTTATAAATGAATAAATAAATAAGCAAATAAATAAACGAATAAGTAAATAGAACGATAGGTATGAATGAGAAGAGGAGAGGGGAGGAGAGAAGAGAAGAGATCAAATGATAATCTGATTTTATCTAATCTTTTACTTTACTTTAGTTTAGTTTAGATGTACGACTATATTATATATATTCTTGAATAAGTAAATATCTAAATAAATAGATTTTGAATAATTAATAATTAATAATAAATATTATATATTATATATTATATAATAGATAATAGATAATAGATATATAATAATTAATATATAATAGACAATAGATATATATATAATTTCTCTATCTCTATTTCTCTATTTCTACTTTTATTTCTCTCTCCCCTCGAGCTCTCAAGTTCTTCTTAATTCTAAAGGGATGCGAAGACTCAATACCTGTACGCGGTGCATTCTATGAACCTCCAGCTCTCTCTTGAGAGTCTGCAGAGCTAAGATTGAGTCGCAAATGGAATTGGAAGAATTGGAAGGAAAGAGGTTTAGAGATATAGCGAAGGATTATATTACGATTTTACAATAGCAATATCTACAAAAAGTTGAATATTAGCTTTAAATATGGATATAAAGGTTATGGAAGCTTTGGTTAGATTTAATATCTATTATCGATTATTATTTCAAATACAGAAATATGATATATAATAAGTCTCTTCTTTTAGAAGAGTTTTTTCGATATAAAGCTTGTTGTTATTCTATTCATATTATAACTCTTTTTTATACCCTTTGGCTTTCAGCTATTCGAATACTACAACGACATAATATAGAGAATGCTATTACTTTCAAATTAATATTATACTCTGAGTATCAATATAATATAATGTTTTTCTTTTAATTTCGAATTTTCGAATTTTCCGAATTGATTTGTATATGTTGGTATCAATTTGGTGTTGATTAAAGTGTAAAGTACTTCATTCTTATCAATATGATTGATTGTATTATTCGTCTTGATCATTATTAACTATGGGAAGCTAGTACTTGATATAGTAGAAGTGCTAGCGCTAGTGCATACGCTAGTATATACGCTAGTGTAATACAGTGTTCTCTTAGATTATATGATCGATATCCCGATACTGGCAACTTTTAAGTTGAATGGATCATATACTTTAAGTCTAAGCCTATTATTTAATCTTAAGCATAATATTCTACTTCTATTCCTTTAGCTCCCCTTTCATTATTCTCTTTCCATCCAATACATCACTTTAATAACTATTTTATTAATATCAATCAAATCTTTTAAAGCTTGATATATACCGTTTTTAGTTATAGCATTCGCAGGATTCGATTTCCTATCAATCCATTTAATCTTTATGATCTCCCTATTTTCGTAACATTGTTGTAAAGCCATAATATCGATTAGGAGTTGTTTTTCTGTACTTATACCAAGCTTAGTTAATAGATCATATAATAACTTAGAATCTATATAAAGCATAAATGATATTTGCTTTTTAGATTTGAGAATAGTATTGATAGTACCCTTAATAGCAGCTTTGATATCAAAACCTAAAACTAGTATATATAGCTCAGAAGCTAGTACGCTTCTAATGATTCTCTTGCATTTGACCAACATCTAATAAATGATATTAGTATTACTATACTTATCTACGAGGTATATAATATAGCCGATTTGCAATAATAGATCAATATTGTTAGTAAAGGATATATTAATAAAAACAACTAATTCAATAGAATCCATATTGAAAAATATAAAGATTAATCCTCTTCTTGAATTATCCATTTGCCATTTGATAATCTTATTGAGTTTAATAGTATCTTCTTCCTTCAGATCTACTACCTAAACAGCAACTAAAAGATAATATAATACCTTTAATTGATATACTATTGTAATATATGTACCTTTTGTATATTGAGCAATATATTGATTCTTCGAAATGATATTCTTTCAAATCTTTCCTTTCGTTTCCCACATATCAACACTCCCTAGTATAACTATTTAAAGATTATCACACTATTTCTTCTGATTTAGATAGATTCTATTACCCTTAAAAATAATTAAATCATTATTAAACTTAAGTGAATAATCTTTGATAAGTTATTCTCTATTTTTAGCTATAAATCCGGCTTTTTCCAACTACTCTTGTTCTAATTATGCAAATCTTTCGTTTGCAACTATAAGAGTATCATCGGTTTGTAGTCCTACAATGCCAATACCGTTATTGGAGTAAAGTAAACAGGGATCGTATATAGATTGCGTCATATTTAGCCTATCCCTATAGTGATTGTGGTAGGTTTCATTATAAACTATATAAACCTAGAATATTCTTTAAAGAAAATCTAGGAA